AAGCCTGGATATAGGAATTTCTAACCGGACGAAAAATCATGGTGAAGATATTAAGGGTTATAATTGGCATCCAAATGCACTGTCACAGGCTCATAGTTCCTCTAACAATGAAAAAATGGCAGGGCCACAAATAAACTTCATCAATTCAGGTTGATGTAGACTGGGTTTCAGAATTCTATATAAGTGAAAGAATAAAACCATTTCTTTCCCTGGACATCAGTGGTATAGTGTGGCTGCCCAGGAGGTCCATAGAACCTGAGGCCAGCTAGGGAGGAATGGTGTCAAGATGGAGCAGATGAGAGACTGTCCCTGCTAGTACGTATCAGATCATACCTGGGCGGCTAAATTCCAGGAAAATGGGTTTCTGTGGAGGCAAACAGGAGCAAGCGAGCGACCTTGGAGCAGTGTACAAAATGGCTGAAAGTCATCCTCAGCGTAAAGGAGAAAGCCCAGGGAAGTGGCAGTGTTATCTCCAGATTCCAAAGCCACATAAGGAGAGTTCAAAACAGATCCCTAAGTAGGCCCCCGCGGTCTGGAACTGCCGGCTTTTGCTGGCCGCTCTTTATCTTCCTCTCTATCTCCTCTTGGAGAGCCCCTCCAGCTTTCCACTTTGAAGTCCTACAGGCACGTCGAACCTTCCTCCAGAAACCTTGGAAGTATCATGCGCTTCACCCTTCCCTGTCCATTTTGTGACTAAATCTGGTTCCTTCTACCTCCTAAATATTTCGCTAGTCTGCCCCATGTCCTGTCTTTGCTTCGTCTTCTGCAGTAGCCTCTTAATTAATGTCCTTAATTCTATCTCAGCACATTGTATGTTGGGCCTTTCCCCATTGAGCTTCTCCTCTGCCCCAAGCCCTGTAGAAGTTTCTCTTTTGGGCATGATTAATTCATTTTAAATTCCATTTTAATTGATATATGCTGTGTAATTATATGTATTTATGGGGCATACTGTGATAATTTGACACATGTATATAAATATTTTAAGGTGGCCTTAGAGGCCTTGCACAAGGGAGGCTCTTGACCATGTGGCACTATGCAACTCACTAAGATATCCTTAATGTCATTGTCTCCATATTTAAAATGGAGTGGTGGAGTGGGGAGATGGCTCAGTGGAATAAGTACTTGCCTGGCAAGTGCAAGGACCTGAGTTCAATCCCTGGTTCTGCCAAAAATAAATAAATAAAAAATAAAATAAAATGGAGCGGCGAGTGTCTCAGTGCCTTGGCTTATGCTGCTGCTTCTGCCTCATACACTTTTCTCTCTTTTTGCCATCTTTAGGCTTGGGCTATGTGAAAGGCCTGAGTGAGGGGTTTTCCTCACGCTCTGAATGTGCGCTAGTCATGGCTTGTGCATTCTCTCTCACCACTTACCTTAGTTTGTCATGTCTTAGGCATGTTTTAATACTGGCAACCCCACAGTAGAGGCTGAAGGGCAGCGAATCATAATCTGTGCCAGCCTGGCCTGACCTGGAAGTGAATGCCTGTGTTTCTGTGGCTGGTGCCCCTGGATCCACCCATCCTCTCATCATGGTGGGATTCCACATCTTGTACTCTTCTAATATTTCCTTGCAATCCTCTATCTTCAGAGTAAGGAGTAACCTGGGTCCTAAATCTAACAACACTTCAAGGTGTTATCCCTACTTCTGTCATTCCAGAATACCCATGTCATTCCCGAAAGCCCTGGAGACTGCAGACCTTCCCCTCTGCACATCCTCCTTTTCCCCATGGACTTGCGTTTTCCAGCAGCATCCAGGGCTCTCACTTAAGGCAGTCTGGGCCTCTGAGACTATTTTCCCTAGAAGAAAGTGGCTGTTATAGCTAATGGAATCTCCAGGGGTATTGTCAGCTGGGGTTAGGTGGCTCTTGTCACCAAGGCTGTGTGTGTGTGTGTGTGTGTGTGTGTGTGTGTGTGTGTGTGACTGCCTGTATTGAGCTGTCATTGCCTCCTATGGCCACTTGGCAGCCTTAAGGTTGAAGGTAGATTGGATAATACACTCCTAACATGGTTAGGATCTGTCTATTCTGAAAGACAAGGACGAAGTTTGAGAAAAGAGATCCTCAGACTTGCACTGCAGTATCCTAAGCTGTACCAGAAGATGTCACTGTAGGCTTAAATCAGTAAAATAAATTAGGGCAGAAGGCCCACAGCGAAGCATGAAGGTGACTCCATTATGGAAGTTTCAGTCACCCAGCAGCCTCCCATTATAATGCATGCCTGGAAAACCTGGTTAAAAGGTTAATCCAGATGTGTCACTAGATTAAATAACTTCCTTTCCCCCAAATAATTAGACTAATTGCCACTAAAATGTTTTCTCTGGCCTAGCATAAATGCTTGATAAATATGTGCAGAATAAATGAATGAAGAAATGAGTCCCAAAATTAGGAGTGGGAACAGAGAGTGCCTGTGTACAGTAGCCATCTTCATTGGAAAAAGCTACAGGGGAACAAAAGCTGCTGCTCTTTAGCAAGGGCTCTTCACAGAGTTGAATTTTAGTAACACCAGAAATGTCAAGTCCTAAGAGAAGTACAGAGATAAATGAAGGTGCTCTTGCCCCCCTACATCCTGTCTCCCAGATTCTTCTGTGCCAAATGTTTGTTTATTCCAGAAAAATGTATAAAAGTTTTTTTAAAAAATATCGTCTTCCTGTTATTTTTTGCAATGTACTTGGGTTATCAGCCAGAGGTATTTTATGTCTTGATATATGTCCTGATCTCTCTCCTTCCTCTTCCCAAGAATAGTTTAATAAGAAGTTAACGGAGTCTCTAAGATGGTGTGGTGTGCTAGGTATGAAGGTAAAGGTGTACTCTGGAATCAATGGGAAGAAGGTTGTAGAAATATAGGATGAAGCCCTTGCTCTAGAAAAGAGTTTAAGAGGAATTGCAGGTAAGTAATAGTAACTCAGTAGGGAAAGCGTATTATTTTTTGTTTGTTTGTTTTTTTATTACTAACAATTTACTAGTTATTCCACCAATGTCCTTCTTGAGTTCCAAGATTTCCAAGATATAGTACAGAATATTACATTGCATCTGACATTAAATGATTTTTATTGAATTTACATTTCCTGGAACTTTGGAAATTCTTTGAGGTCTGTGTTTTTTTATTATTAATTTTATTGAGAAACAAATAGCAATGAGACAGTTTCAAAATTAATTAGTAGGATAGTTTCAGTAATTAATACATTGCATATTGTTGTCTTCATATCATCCAGCAGAAAAGTATAAAAATGAGGTATAAAAAGTAAAGCCATATTAATATGCTGAGCTGTAAAAGCCTCAACTCAACAGCTTCTGACATTGCCAGTCCTACAGGAAAGCATTTTAGCAAAGACTATGCAGGGAAGCACTATGACAATGGAGGAAAAAATGATGACGGCAATAGGGAAAGGGATTTTTCTTAAAGGAGACATGGGACTTGGACTGAAACTTGAAGGATGGGTTAGGGAGATATTAGGCTTAAACTAGTAAAATAAGCCTGGCAAGTGCAAGATCCTAAGTTTGATCCCAGGCACAAAAAAAAGAAAGAAAGAAAAAATAAAAGAAAGAAAGAAAGGATGGGTAAATTTCTCTAGTCAAAGAAGGAAGTCTATGCCAGGTAGAAGAAATGCCGTGCAGGGTTAGAGGTATATAAGATAGATCCCAAGAAGCTTGAGTTTTTGTAGACCCCCAAAATTGGAGGAAATTTCCACAAGGAACATTCAGTCAGCCTGGTGGCTAAGAGGGTTCCCTCTGGTTTCCTATGTGCATATAGAGAACTAGGCAGTTTCTCCTCAGGTGGGAATGGATAAACTTCACAAAAACCAAAGTCATCCTCCTGCTTTCCTTGAGGAAGGCAATGCCAACATTCAGTGTCTATTACTATTTTCCTTTCACAATATGTTCTTCAGTGACCTCATCCTTCATCTTCTGAAAGAAGAATGCAAATTCATTTTTCATGAAAAGCACAACCAGAGGCTCTTTTTCCTCATATAGTATCCAAGATCATAGACCTTGACATTTTGGGGGGGTTTGGTATGTGTGTACATCACTATGTATGGGTGCAGGTATGTGACTGTGTGGCTTGAATGTTTGTTAGTCTGCTATTTGAGCAAAGAACTTTATCTATTTGTAGATCAAAAGAAAAGATAAGCACAACAACAAAGCCTCCATAGTTACTCACATCCATTTCAGTGGGTAAAGAAAATGGCTATTTTGGAGCCAATAGACTTAACTTTCCTGGTCTGGGAATACTGCCAAGGGAGCAAAGGGGGGACTAAAGGTAGTTGTCTATGTATGTACCATTGGCAGCTACCATGTTTATTTCAGTGTGTGATTAACCACAATGTTTATTTCTGGAAGCCCTGGGCTGCTCTGCCTATCTCTACATTCCAATTCCATAAGGTATGGTCCACGGTATTGTGACAACAACCTAAATCAAGAGTATCATATCGGGTACTGCTTCAGTGCAAATTTTTTAAAGGACATTTTCAGATTAGAATGGATTCTGGGAAATACTTGTTTATATTTAACAAGATGGATTAGAATTTGAGCTCATTGATCACTTCTTCACTTCATATCAATAAATTGTTGTCTTTCATGGAGCCTCCATTTTAGGATCAGTTAATGGAAGTTTATAGTGGAGGATGTGAAATAAAATGGCTGCCTTCTGAGCCACTGACGTCAAATGGGAGGATTTTGCCATTGGTTGGAGAGGGAGAAAAAACAGGTGGAGGAAAAATAGGAGTGAAGAATGACAAGGCCAGTGTCTTGAGTCTATAAACTGCTTTTTGTTTACCTATTTTATCTACAGTGTCAGCATGTTGGGTGGAAGACTTAGCTATCTGTTCAGGCTAATGGAATGTAGAGGGGACTGGAACACAATTCACATGACAAATGTCACCAGATCCTTGTCATTTTCCCTTAGCCTTCTTTATTGACCATCAAACATCACATATGTCATGTACCTTCTTGACTCCACACTGAAACCCACATCTCTGACTCGTGGTCTCTGTGCTTTATCCGCAGGAATTTCCATTACATCACCATCCTCCGAGACCCAGTGTCTCGGTATTTGAGTGAGTGGAGGCATGTCCAGAGAGGGGCAACCTGGAAAGCATCTCTGCACGTGTGTGATGGAAGGCCCCCAACATCAGAGGAGCTGCCAAGCTGCTATAGTGGTGATGACTGGTCTGGTTGCCCCCTGAAAGAGTTCATGGAGTGCCCCTATAATCTGGCCAATAACCGCCAGGTGCGCATGCTCTCCGACCTGACCCTCGTAGGCTGCTACAACCTCTCTGTGATGCCCGAAAAGCAAAGAAACAAGGTTCTTCTGGAAAGCGCCAAGTCCAACCTGAAGCATATGGCTTTCTTCGGCCTCACTGAGTTTCAGCGGAAGACCCAATACCTGTTTGAGAAGACCTTCAACATGAACTTTATCTCGCCGTTTACCCAATACAATACTACTAGAGCCTCTAGTGTAGAGATCAATGAGGATATCCAAAAGCGTATTGAGGGACTGAATTTTCTGGATATGGAGTTGTACACCTATGCAAAAGATCTCTTTTTGCAAAGGTATCAGTTTATGAGGCAGAAAGAGCATCAGGAGGCCAGGCGGAAGCGTCAGGAGCAACGCAAATTTCTGAAGGGAAGGTTCCTTCAGACCCATTTCCAGAGCCAGAGCCAGAGCCAGAGCCAGAATCCAAGTCAGAATCAGAGTCAGAACCCAAGTCCCAATGCAAATCAGAATGTGACTCAGAATCTGATTCAAAATCTGACTCAGAACTCGAGTCAGAATTTGAGCCAGAAGGAAAACCGGTCCAACCAGAAACAGAAGCCAGGCCACAAGCCTAACGAGAGCACCAGCAGCAATGGTACCAATGACTACATAGGCAGCGTAGAGAAATGGCGTTAAGCGGCTCCACGAGGCCCATGCCTTCTTCTCCCAAAGCGCCACCCAAACATGGCATATCTTAAAAGATTAAAATGTTCCAGCACATCTGCTTCCGTAATTTTGGAAGTTAGGAAAAGCTTAGATGTTGCCTTTACAGTTGCCTTTCAATGAAATGTTATACTGTGCGTGGGTGAAACAGATCTCCATATATAATTAAATTGTCTTTTTTTTTTTGGTTGGACTATTTATGAAATCCAAAAGTCAAACCAGACTCACCAGAAATTGCTGTTTAGCTATTTTAAGAAGTTCTTAAATTAGGAATGGAAACATAAAATGTGACCATTTAGCTTATGGATAAGAGCTGGATTTTAAGAGATGTGCATCACACTGTTAAAACCGATCTTGGAAGCAAACTTTTTCCCCTGGCTAAACACAGCATAAACATCAAGTGAAATGCAAACTCTTTTATTTTCCTCTGTTGTTCACAAGGGATCTATTTAAACATAATACCAATTGCTGATACAGTTGCCCAACCATAGAAAGGAAATAATTCCTCTCTCAAACATGGGTGATTTTATGTAAAAATATTTGCCTTTGAAGCAGAACAGGGCTCATATCTTGTAATTTAAGAGATCTTTAAAAATTTTAAACTTTTTCTACCTTCTACTGTTTAAAGGTTTTAAACAGGGTCTAACTCATGCTAAACAAATCATATTTTTTCCAAAGGAATACCAATGTTAAGATCTAATTTTCAGATGCTTTCAGGCACTGTAATTTCAACAATTCTGGAATCTTTTTGGCGCTGCTTCTCATTCACTTTAAGGCTTCTTCGAGTTATGCTCATTCCAAATGTCTAGAATATTCATCCTTGAAATGGTGTGTTGCTGAATTTCTTGTGGTGTATAATCTTGGATTAAAGTCAGGACTTCCTTTATATAGAATTGTCTTATCAATGTTTGTGTAGTGAGGTCCCTATCAAGAAACTATTCAACAGAATGTGTCTGCAAATATTGCTGAAGCTATTCTTGATCAGGTAGAATCAAACCTGAGTGTGAACTGTTATCTACTTTTTGTACATCTTTCTTGTAATGTTTCCAGTTTAGCTAGCTTTTTCTGGCCCATTGGTTCTTTTTCGTGTGTGTTGAAAAATTTGTAGACAATTACAAGAGCAAAGAAAAAAATTGCTAGAACATGTACTAGTATGGTCAGAGTTCCTCAGTATCACTAGAAGGTTTCTTGACACTTTGATACTTTGGGTTAACCCTTCTACAAGGTTTTTGTTTGTGAAATAACACAAAAATAAAGATTTGCAGTCAGACATTCTGCAGTAAAGTATCAGAAGCACACACTTTGAGAAGGGAAATTTGCTAGTGGAAGCCTAGGTAAAAGGACTTTCATGATATCAAGTATAAATTGAGCGCAGTCAAAGAAGTCTGGGCAGTTCCCATGGTATATGGATTTTGCTACATTTTCAAAAGAACTTACACAACCTTTCCAACCGCCAGTCAACCAGAGTGACTGGAAATGACATTTATGTTTTGAGAAGTAACATGCTGAATACTGTGACCATAAAGTAATATCTTGTACAGTCTGCTCACATGCATGAACTAGTTTCATCAGTAATGATATACCCACAGGCTCAGCAAGCTGCTGAGTATTTGTTCTTAAAATGGATTTTCTTGACTCTGAGCCTGTATCAGTATGTCTAGCTTTTGCTTTTGTTTTCTCTGATAGTATTGCTGGGAATTCTGAGACCTAAGAAACTGGAAGGAAATACACACATACATACACACACACACACACACACACACACACACACACCCCTTGATGTCAAAGTGTTTTAGAGTGAAACTATTTTGTGCACATTGTGTTTTTAAAGTATTCTGTAGGCCACTATGGTATTTAATTTTGTTATTATTAATTGAAAATGTTTCCTCTTAAAATGGACAGATAGTTTTGGAAAGCAGGAGGAGGCCTGAGCCAGTGGAAAAACGTTGTTACAGAAAAAAAAATCTGTGTTATTGCTGTGGTGTGCATGGTTTGCGGAGATTAAGTGCATTTTCTCTGTTTATACTGACTATTGTACATAGGGGGTGTTATGAATATACATTTTTGTCATGAACATGGAAATCCCATGATTTCAACTGTAAACGTCTGTCCAGTGGTGTAGCTTTACAGGTCATTCACTGATTTTTGTGTAATTTAACAATAAATATGAAATAAAGTTTAAATTACAGTCTGTGAATCATTTTATGATTTCAAACTTTGTTGCCACAAGACATTCTGACACTCTAGGCCAGGTGTGAGAATGGGAAGGCTCATTCTACTCCCTCGTATTCAAATGCTTTGATTTAGGGTGCTTCCTTCTGGGAGTCCATGTTTTGAAGAAAAGAAAATTGTCTATAAGAGACAAGGATTACTGTAAAAATGAACTGTGCACATGCTATAATTTAAAAGTTATTCAAGTAGATACTTCCATACTTAAGATGTGCAGAATGGAAGAATAGCACTCTTAATTTCCTGTCTGTCCCTTCTGTCCACAAGGTAGAGGGTAAAGATATACATGAAAGTTTTGGCTTTTACAGTCCTGAACCCAATGTGTTCTACTCATATTCTGTGTATGCATTTTCCAAGCTGTTGTGATTAAGACCATGTACAGGCCTGGTTTGTGCTTACTTCCTTCCATAAAGACTTTAGGTTCACAATAAGAGAGCAAGGGAGGGAGGAGAAAAATTCATTATAACACAGTACAGACCATGTATGTAAAAGTATGCCTTGATTAATTATAATTGTCTTATGTGTTTTATATGTTTTTAGCCTATTAGTCTGGCCATCGATCTGTGTTTAAGTAATTAACTTTATAAGGACATATTTAAAAACAAGATTTTTTGAATGATCTCCAAGGAATTAGAGGAAAGAACACTACAAACTGGGGTATGAAATATAAGTATCCTCACTATAGTTATATATAAACTATACTTAGGCTTTGCTCTTCAACTACTGATTGAACAATAACTGCACTGGGATGTACTTAGTGATAGAGTACATGTTTAGTATGTGTGGGTCCCTGGATTCATTTGCTACCTATCCTCTCCCCCCCCTCCAGCAGAGACACACACACACACACACACACACACACACACACACATCACTGGGTAGCTAAAGATCTCTATTGTTTCAAAGTTCCATGACCCCTTGAGAGGAACCTTAATTAGGAACATGGGAGTCAATAACTTGAAATATTCAGGAAGTAGACTTTGGTCTGCTTTTCCCTGAAGGAGGACAGATACCCTCAGAGAACAGAGCACTCTTGGCACTTTCTAGAATTATCCTAAAGAGCATTTGTGACACTTGAAAGTTGAGTAGTGGGAGACAAGGGAATTCTTTCAGCATGGTGGTGCCCATTTGTATTTGGCTAGGACTCCCTTCTTTCCTGCCCTTGTTAGGAATTAAATTCAGCAAACAAAAACTGCATTATACATAGAAAATTCTAACAAGAAATACAGGATATATTGACTCCCAACATAAACCCTTGGAACTTGAAATCCTACTCTTTTATATGATGAGAAGAAAAAAGCATCACAGTTTTGAATGTCAAAAGAATTTGGACTACATCTTAAAAATACCAAAGTAGGGCCAGCGAGACAGCTCAGTGAACTAAGTGCCTGCTTAGACAAGCTCAGGGCCTGGGGTTCGATCTCTGGCACTGCATGCCATGCCGGCCCTGTTCCCAGGTGGGCTGAGCGAACCACTAAAACTGGGCATGGTGGCTCACGCATGTAATCCCAGCTCTAGGGCAGCTGAAACAGGAGAATCACTAAGAGTCCAAGCTGCATAGTGAGACCCGGTACCAAATACATTTTTTTTTAAAAAAAGTAACACTCAGATATTCACAAGCGTGCAAAGCCCTGAAAAGGTCAGGGAATGATTATCCTGAAAATGAAGTATATTGCTGTTTCTCAGTTTACAAGGCTAAACAGGGGTCCAAGCACAACTGCCCTGGAGCCAATACCCCTTCTTGCTTTTTCTGTAAATAGAGCATTATCAGCACATCTCACTGCCTAGTTCTTTGCATATTTTTTCTGGCTGCTCTCAAGCTACACCGGCAGGCATAATTGAAACAGGGATCCCATGACTGGAAACCCCTAAAACATTTCTTTTCTTGGCTTTTGGAGATAAGATTGGTCAGTTCCAGAACTAGAAGGCCCAACAAAATTTGCAAAATTTTGAAAACTTAGCAGTTTCTTAGAATTTCAGAACACAGAGATGTGATTGAGAAAACATGCGTCCCAAGATCACAGTGCCACAAAGTGCATGTAGGACGTACTTGCTCCGTGAAAGGCACTCTAGTAGGCCAGAGAGTGAGGAAAACCTGAACTTCTCTCTTGGGATTGAGCAGGTCAAGGCAAATGCTGTGCCAGTGCAGGCAAAAGCTTCAGTAAGGGCCAGACAAATAGCTCAGTGGATTAAAGTGTCTGCAAGCAGGCACAGGGGCAGGGGTTCGATCCCCAGGACTGCCATGCCTCCCCCCGCACGCTGAGCCGGCAATTGAGACTGGGTGCCTGTAATCCCAGTTCTTGGGAGGCTATAAACAGGCATATCACTATGGGTCTGATCTAGTAGTGAGACCCTGAACACCCTGTAGACCTTTCCCTAAAATAAAAAAAAGACACTTCGATAATCTTCAGGTGGCTCAAATCTTGCCATCTAGCAGGTACCTGGGTGTGCATGTGGGTTTACTCACATCTTTCTAAGAATTGCAACTATATAGGTACATAACTTAAAAAGTGAAATTACTTATATAACTTCAGTCTCCCCAAAATAACTACTTGTCTTAGTCATGTACAAATGTAGTAAGTGTCTCACATGCAGACACAACTACAAATAATATTTATAGAAAAGATGAAACCATACTGTCCTCAGGTTTTTGAATTTTCTATTAGGATATGTCTGCAGCACATCACCTTCAATGCTCTCTCTCTTATCATTCTATTGTTTTCATTTTTACTTAATTTTCTTTCCAATTTTGATTGATTGATTACAGTATTAGATGGAGCTTGAAAGTTTTCATAAGCTAGGCAAATGCTCTACTTCTGAGCTACATCTCCAGCCCTCAACTTCCTTTCTTCAAAAGCCCAACAGTTTATCATAGCTTTTCTTCCAAAAGAGGAATAGAGTGTCATGTTGACCCGATTCTTCCAGCCAGACTCCTGTTGGTGTTACAGCTGAGACCTTAGGCTCCAGATGCAAACCACCCACATTTAAATCCCAGTTCCACCAAGCATTTGCTCCGTGACCTTGGAAAAATCACTCAGCTCCTCCTGTCTCAACTTCCCCACCAGTAAATAGAGAAAATAAAACTCATGAAGTCAGATATTTATTGTGAAAAGTAAACAAGTTAATATTTGTTTAAAAAAAAACACCTTAGCCTACAACCTGAGATGAAGTAAACCTTACATGTATAACAATTAGCATTTTTACTGTTATTAGCAGGAAGGCTGTAGGTCTGCTGCATTCCCATGTCCTCAGAAAGGATGGACTCTACTCAGGTAAAAATGAGAACATATTGGCAAGAAAATTAGCAAAAAGTAAAATGTACCCTACTGAGAGCAACTTTTTGAAAGACTTTCTCCAAAAAGAAAGTAAATAGATTTCAAATGTCACACCACGTAATGTATAAATAGCTGTCCTAAAGATTGCTCCTGACTTGCGAATGTAGCCAGTGACAGAAGTATTCTGAAAGATCTAATCTACAAAATGTCAGGTGAGTCACAGATCTTCTCTCCAGCAATCAAAGTACATCATGTGGTAGCTGGGGCTGACTTGGGACCTACTTTGTCACACGCCAGAGGGATGACTCACTTCCAACCCCCTTCCTTCCCCACCAACATCTCCACTTAGGATCATCAGAGCACAGTGCTGTCTGCCAGACGAGATCTAAGAGTCCCAAAGGTCCAGCTGCCACCATTACAGGTCCTGCCGACTGCCTGGAGTTCCCCCATCCCATCCCTGTACTCTGAGTGAAAGTGGCATGATCAGAGGACTCTATTAAAATGCATATATGCCACCAAAGAGGGAGGAGGCAAAGTAACCCATTAAAAGTTAGCACATATTAGTTTATTAGATTACCAGTCACGAAGGGCCCTCAGGGAAAGGGAAACACAGGCCTTGTGAATCTAGCTAGCTCATTTCACTTTTTCAAAAAGAAAAAAAAAATGAATGCTTGCATCTATCCTATTTGAATTTTAAAATTTCAGCCTCACTGCCTAAAGGACAGGATATGGTTCAATAATCCCCATCAAATCTCACTGACTTGTATATATTCTATTCTCATGATGTCTGGTTAGATCTTGTGACTTCACTATTATAGGTAAGACTTAACAATGCCTAACTGGGCTAAGAAAAGGTAAACTGCTTTTGTGTCTCAAACATGT